GTTGACTTGTTCACGGAAATTGCTTGACGTATTTTGCGTTTTTTCGCGCATTGTCAGTTAAAGATGTACTCAGTGATTAATGTGAGTCATGAACGTGCGATTTGAGTGTTGATGTGAGCATGTGATATCATACTATCAATATGTCTCATTCGTACACAGTTCCTGTGCAGGAAAGACTTATAATGATAGTAGTGGTAGTTGAAATGATATAATGATAGTAATAGTATGGATTGCACTAGAAACTGCGACTTGTCTGGATAGTATCCGTTTAAAGTAAATTCAAACATTTCATTTGTGTTCGTCGGCAAAGTGCGATTGATATATGTGGTGTAATTGCTTGATGTGATTGATTCGTACGTCATTTTGTAGTATTCGCGTGTGTATCCATTCATTCATGCTCGTTTGATTGACTTGTTTCCGTTCTTATTTGTTCTGTTTGCCGTGTTCAGTTAATCGTATTTCTTGACAAATTTTGACAGTTGAAACGTGTCGCTTATTCGACGTTTTCTCGATAATTCAGATCCTCCATTTCAAATTTTTGCGTTTCCATTCACTTTCATTTCAACGAACATTGTTCAATTCTGATTGAAGCGCTTGAAAATATGTTCGAATAATTTTTAAAAATGCTATTTCAGCCCCTAGAAACGGCGGCCAATACAACTTAACCCGAAGCAGCAGTGATTTATTGCGAAACTTTTATGTGTATATAATAAGCAAGTCAATCAAATTGATCATATCATTTAGTATACTTAATCTACTCCTCAAACAAAATTGATTTATTGTGCAAGTTTATATTTGGTGCATAATGAAAGTCTATTCGATACTTGTATTCCATAAAGACTCAAGTGGTAGAGCTAAACCACTGAAATCGGCATTCGATCTTGCCAGTTTTAGTTTCTTTCAACGATCCTCTGTTCAGGTTAATTTTGACATTGTTTTATTTGTTGAAATTTTTCCTTCTGTTCGAACCGTTGATGTGAACGTATGAACTGCGGAGATAATCTATAGTTGATAACATTTTTTGAACGGAATGAAATTCGTACAAATTGGGAAATTGACGAAGTGTATCGAAGAAGAGTTCGATTTCGATGGTGATGAATTAATTGCTTTTGATTGGTGATAATTGATTCTGAGTATTATTAATAACTGCGCAGCAGTACACTTCTGTTTTGATGAATTACTAATTCAGAAGAGTGAAAGACCACATCAATAATCGATGAACTTTGGCGCTTATTTTAGTGAGTCTTTCAACGTGTTTAAATTACAGGAATTCATGACTTTCACTGGTAAATTATTGGTGGAACGCGCAGCGTTATCCAGTCGAAATTCAGTCAAAGAGAACGAATACTTTTGTCACAGGTAAGTGTGAAAAAATTTGTACGAAGTGTGAAATTTGAACAGTGCAGGTGTTAGCAGTGAATCTGAGTAATAAGCTTAATAAGTTTTGAAATTCGTTGACATTTTTGCATCAGATGTACTGTAGATATGTATGTGAGCATGGACGAAAGCTTTCGGTGTTTCCGCTGCAAACTTTTGATAAGTGTTCGATATTTGTACTTTATTAAACCGAATATTTTTCTTCTGCTCTATTCAGTGTTCATCTGAAATGAGAAATTGACGGTTCATTAGGTGATTTTGAAATATCCTACTCCGCTTTTTTTGTGAAGCCATCAATGAGAAAGGCCACGAATTAAGCAAATGACAAACACTTCACCACTAAAAGTACTTCATACATTTTGTTGACGTAATTGAGTGAAAGAAATTAGTTATTTTACTCTTCGTGTGATTGATATGTGCCGTATTTTGTGCTGCTGACATTTTCATAAGTGCTTATTTTCATCATATTCCAAAACGCTGCTGATACGTCATTATCGTCCTCAACNAGGATCATTGAATTAAGGACAGACTGTAAGAATATTATCAATGGGGAGTGGGTATTATTTGCTGATATTTGTCCATATTTTTAAAAAATATTTTTCTCCTATAATCTGATTATGAAATGAACTAAGGTGGGCCGCCGAAACCTCAAAAATGGTCATTTCAGTTGACAATTAAAACCGAAAAAGACTGTACGTACACTGGACTTCCAGCGTTGTTAGCCAAGTGGCAAAATCCACGTGAAGCGGATGCTATGACACGAGTTCAAGTAGATTTTTTGAATTATTTCACGGCGTTTCTTTGATTCGGAAGTAGAAACAAAATATCCCTTATTCAGTGCCGTCGAGGAACCTGTGTTGCAGGCGACTTTTGTCGGATCTACTTCATAGAAAGATATAAGCGAGTCAAAGATAAATTTATCAATTGAACTCGCTCGCGTTCGCACTGAACGTCGCCATTTTGATCACCATTAAGCTGTCTTATACAGATAGATTGTCTAATATCTCAGTTGAATCAAGCTCGCGTAATCGCTTCTGAATGAAAATTCTTTCGAGTAAAAAGGAATCTGAGAGTGTGAATTGATGAGAATAAAAAATGAAAAATAATTTCAAAATGTTTCAGGAAGAGGTTGAAGAGACAAAGATTGTCTTACATAATACAATACAATCGGTACTCAATAGAGGCGAGAAGTTGGATGATTTAGTTGCGGCCAGTGAGGGTTTATCAAATCAAAGTAAACTCTTCTATACGCAAGCAAGAAAAATGAACAAATGTTGTAGTTGGACTTAGTGACTACCGTATTGGCTGAACTTCATTTGCATGTTTATGTTTATTTTGAAGGTGTGTATTATATTATAATGTTTCTCTGGAAGAGTGCTCTGCTGACATTGATATGTGCGATTTTATTATGCTAACTTATTCGTGTTTGTCATTTAAGTGCTTCAGAAGAAGCTTTTTCTAGTTGAAAGATTCTTCAAATTCATGTAAATCAACGCGTTTGATTCTCTTTCAAATTTTCTTCATCCATTGCGTTATTTTTATGATGAGCACATTTTTGATCCGTACAGCATTTTTGTTAGTGATGTTGAGAGCAGGAAGCAGTGTGCTTAAGGTGTTATCGATTTGTGAACTTGTTCGTTGGAATGGTTTAAGAACATTATC